GATCCCCATAGTGCCCCATAGAAACCCCATAGATCCCCATAGAGCCTCATAGATCCCCATGGAACCCCACAGAGCCCCATAGAAACCCCATAGATCCCTATAATGCCCCATAGAGCCCTATAAAAACCCCCTAGAAAACCCATAAATCCCCATAGAGCCCCATAGAAACCCCATAAAACCCCATAGAGCCCCACAGAGCCCCATAGAAACCCCATAGAGCCCTATAAAGCCCCATAGAGCCCCATAGAGCCCTATAAAACCCCATAGAAACCCCACAGAAACCCCATAAAACACCATAGTGCCCCATAGAAACCCCATAGAAACCCCATAAAACCCCATAGAGCCTCATAGATCCCCATGGAACCCCACAGAGTCCCATAGAAACCCCATAGATCCCTATAATGCCCCATAGAGCCCTATAAAAACCCCATAGAAAACCCATAAATCCCCATAGAGCCCCATAGATCCCCATAGAGCCCCATAGAAACCCCATAAAACCCCATAGAGCCCCATAGATCCCCATGGAACACCACAGAGCCCCATGGAAACCCCATAGAACCCCATAGAGCCTCATAGAAACCCCATAGAAACCCATAGAGCCCCATAAAAACCCCATAGAACCCCATAGAGCCCCATAAAAACCCCATAGAAACCCCATAGAACCCCATAGATCCCCATAGAAACCCCATAGAGCCCCATAGTGCCCCATAGAAACCCCATAAAACCCCATAGAGCCCCATAGAGCCCCATAGAAACCCCATAGAAGCCCCACATCCCCCCATAGATCCCGCCCCCCCCCTCACCGCCATCTTCGCCCTTTTTGCTGCGTTTCGGCATCCCGCCCGCTTTTCCTCGTGAGTCCCAGCGCCGGAAGTGCCGTCGAGGAACGGAAGTGACGCGTGAAAAAACGAAACCGGATGTGACGTCACGAAGCCGGGCCTTCCCAGGGGAGGGAAGCGAGAAACCGGAAGTGGGGCTAAAAACTACACCCCGTCCGCAGTGGGGCGGTGGGAATGGACACCGGAAGTGACCCCACAGATGACCGGAAATGGAGGTAAAACGCGGAAGCCGCTGCGAAAAGCAAACAACCTGATCCGCCATGAGGAGCAAACCGGAAGTGACGCTGAGATAACCGGAAGTGGGGCTGCAACGCCGGTGCGGAGCTGAAAACGACGAATGCGGTGAACGACAAACCGGAAGTGGCGTTCAAACAGAACCGGAAAAGCGTCCAGAAAACCGGAAGCGAGCGAACGCGCGTGCGGAGAACACAACTAAAGGGCTGCGAGCACCGGAAGTGTTGAAGGCAAAGACCGGAAGTGCCACTGCGACGCACCGGAAGTCGTCTGCGGGCAAAAAGAGAGGGTGGATGGATGCGAGCGCAGAGCAACAAGAAGTGGACCAGCGGCAGACCGGAAGTGGCTGCGAGGAGAACCGGAAGTTGCCCCGATGGAGAACGGGGATTGGTGGAGGGGTGCGAGCGGTGGAGCGCACCGGAAGTGGTGCTGCCCAGCACCGGAAGTTGCTGTGAAAAACACCGGAAGTTGTCCCGCTGGGACGCAGGGATTGGTAAGGGAATGAAAGAGCGCGGCGGGGTAAACCGGAAGTGCTGGACAGAAAGGGCGGAAGTGGCTGCGAGCAGAACGGGAAGTGGTCCCCATAGAACGCAGGGATTCGTGCAGTAATGAGCGGGCTGGAGCATACCGGAAGTGGTGTTAAGAAAGGGCGGAAGTAGCCCTGAACAGCACCGGAAGTTGTTTCTTTGTAACTTTGGGATTGGTCGAGAAACGGGCGGCACAGGCGACCACCGGAAGTGGGGGTAGGAAAGGGCGGAAGTGACTGAGAGAAGAACCACAAGTGTCCCAGAAACAACGCAGGATTGGTGCAGGAATGAGCAGGGTGGACCACACCGGAAGTGGCGTTAAGAAAGGGCGGAAGTGGCCCTGAGCAGCACCGGAAGTTCTATCTTTGCAACTTTGGGATCGGCGCTGAGCAGCAACGGAAGTTTTTTCGGTGCAACATTGGGATTGGTGGAGAAACGGGCGCCACACTCGGGCACCGGAAGTGGTGCTGCGAAAGGGCGGAAGTGTCTGCGAGCAGAACCAAAAGTATCCCCGAAACAACGCAGGGTTTGGACGAGGAAGACGCCGGGCGGAGCAAACCGGAAGCGGGCTTAAGAGCGGGCGGAAGCGGCTGCGAGGAGAAGCGGAAGTCGCCCCTCGGCGGCTCTGAGATCGGTCGAAACGCGCGCGCTTGTCGGCGGACCGCCGGAAGTGACGTAGAAGCGTAGCGGAAGCGGTTGGGGGAGGAGCCGGAAGTGGCCCGCAAGGATCTCAAAGCGGGGCGCGGTGGGAAGGGGAGGAAAAGGGGTGGGGGAAGGAATGGGCTCGAAACCGGAAGTCCCTCCCCCCTTTTACCCACCGGAAGCGGGCTGAGAAGCGGAAGATCGAGGCGCCATGCCGACGGTGTTGGGCCTGGAAGGTTCGGCCAATAAAGTCGGAGCCGGGGTGGTTCGGGACGGCCAGGTGCTGAGCAACCAAAGGGCCACGTACGTCACACCGCCGGGACAAGGTGAGAAACGAAACGCACAAAAAAAACAACCGTTTTTCCACCCCTTTATTCCTTCCGTTTTGATATTAAGAAAAAAAAAAACGGGAAAAAAGCGACGAAATCCCGCCGCTTCCGGTTGCGCGC